AAAAGGCGGGGGACAAGAAGGGAAGGCGGGGGAACAAGAAAGGGAAGGCGGGGAGGAGGGGCAGAAGATGAGAACCCGGGGAAAAGGCGGGGAACAAGACGGGAAGGCGGGGGAACAAGAAAGGGAATGCGGGGAGGAGCGGCAGAAGATGAGAACGCGGGGAAAAGGCGGGGCGGGAGGCGACAAAGGAAGGGAACACGAGGAAAAGGCGGGGGAACAAGAAAGGAAGGAGGGAAGAAGGCGGGGAGAAGGCGGGGAGAAGGCGGGGAGAAGGCGGAGAGAAGGCCGAAGGGAAGGCGGGGAGAAGGTGGGGAGAAGGTCGAAGGGAAGGCGGGGAGAAGGCGAAAGGGAAGGCGGGGAGAAGGCGAAACGGGGAAAAACATGGAAGAAAGGGAGATGAGAGGAAGGTGGTAGGAAGGTGAGGGGAAGGCTACACACCCTCGGTTGCTCGCTCCTCGCTCCTCGTTGGCTCGCTCCTCGTTGGCTCGCTCCTCGCTCCTCGTTGGCTCGCTCCTCGCTCGATCCCTCGTTGGCTCGCTCCTCGCTCGCTTGCTGGCTCCCTCCTCGCTTGCTCGCTCTATCTCGCTCGCCCTCTCTCTGACTATCTCCCTCGGTCACTCTCTCTCCTTCTCGCTCGCTCGCTCGCTCACTTACTCTCCCTCCTCGCTCGCTCCCTCCTCGCTCCCTCCTCGCTCGAGACAGCTAGCTCACTCTCCCTCCTCGCTCGCCAGCTCGCTCTCTCCCTCCTCGCTCGTTTCCTCGCTCGGTCCCTCCTCGTGCTCGCTCTCTCCTTCCTCGCTCGCTCGCTCTCTCCTTGCTCGTTCGCTCACTCCTCGCTCGCTTCCTCCTCGCTCTCACTCGCACGCTATGGTCTTACTCGCTCCCTCGTCGCTCGCTTCCTCACTTCCTCGCTCCCTCGTCGCTCGCTCCTTGCTCGCTTGCTCTCTTTCCCGCTCGCTCTCACTCCCGCGCTTACTCTCGCTCTCGCTTGCTCGCTTTCACTCGCGCGCTTACTCTCGCTCTCGATCGCTTCCTCGCTCGTTCACTCCTTGCTCGCTTGCTGTCTTCGCCGCTTGCTGGAATTCCGCTTGCTGTCTTTCCCGCTTGCTGTCTTTCCCGCTTGCTGGACTCCGAACCCTTCCTCGCTCGCTCGATCCTTGCTCGCTTGCTCGGCCGGCCGTTGAATCGCTTACAAAAAAAAACACTTCGGCTCTTTTTCCCGCTTGCTCGGCCTCGAGGCTGTAGGGTCTCTCGGTCGGTCGGTCCACTTAGTCGGCCCGGCCATTGGTCGGTCCGTCCGCCCGTTGGGTCCACCTGTCGGTCAGTCGGTCGGGCCTCACCACTCGTTGGGTCCACCTGTCGGTCGGTCGGCCCAGGCATTGGTCGGTCCATCCGCCCTGCCAGGTGGACTTCAGCCAGGATAACTCCGGGTTGAATTGTGAGGTCCCCTTCGTCGTTATCACTACCAGTTTTCCTCCCTTCCATCTCCTCCTTCCATACCACCAGGTCACAGTGGTACCGTGGAATTCCATAGCCCGCTATTGGCCCCGCACACCGTGCGAAAAGTGTCAGTGGCACCGGGCGTATCGAGCTTCGAAAATTACCCGACAAACCCGAACCGGAATCGAGCGACGCCACCAACCTATCGAACCGCGCGGTAGCCATTAAGACTCACTGGTTCACCAGATGAGGAACCGACCACCACCGGAGATCTCAGTTCCGACCGGGGACTCCACCCGCACTTTCCTAAAATCCTTGGCACACCCCCTTTCGCACTTCCAGGCCCCCATCTCACTCCGGTGAGGAAGTCGCACTGGGCGTGAGGTTGGGCGTCACACCCCATCGACATCCATCTTTTGGTGACCTTCCAATTGACACCTACCTTCGGGCAAGAAATCTGGTAACCCAGATATTTGTTGTATCTATACAATGGACACTATCTTTATTCGAAGGTCCCGGTGGCCATTGCCAATTCCTAGGGTCCACTGACTAGTTATGCGATGGTATAGTTAGAGAAAAGGGGCGAATGGAGTCAGGATATTCCAAGACGCACACAGGCAACAAATCCGTCAAAGGCGGAAGCGAGGTCTCCAATTGCGCCTGGATCAGCGGCGGGCCTTGCGACGTAGTCCCAGTCAACGGGGATGTCTCCCAACACAAAACCTGCGCATTCAGCTGATCTGAAACTGATTCTATCCACCACAAAAGCAAGGGAGCATAATCCTGTGTTCTCTTTAACCATCCACCTTGTGAGAAAGCAATCCCAGATCAGAGGGTGGACAACCACTCCGGAGGTATTGCTTGGTGGACGGGGTGGAGATGGAGCGTGTGATGCCAAAGGTCCATCAACGATGAGGCCAAGTCAGTGAGAGGTTTTCAGTCCCTTCGGTCCACATCCTAAATGTCAACCACCGTTCCAATCCCTCTGCTCATCCAAGAATTGCCAAAAGCCCCTCCCTTGAAACAGGGAAGGGGTGATACTTCGAGGTGAGAATAAACGGGTTATCAAAGAGTGGTTTTGTCAGTATTTGGTCTGTCAGCATGGGTGGAGGGAGCAGTTGAGGACAGCAGCGTCGCCACTCCCACAAAATGCCTGCCCATATGCGGCACGGAACCCGCTTACGAAGGTACCCATGATGGAGGGCTGCTATCCAAATACAACACGGTGTCCGCCAGTCCCAACCATCAAGAAGTGCAAATTCAGCCAATTGTCTCCACGGGGAGAAGACCCTGCTAAAAGCGCCCACGGTACCCATTGGGACAACAACGCTCCAATTTGGTACGGCGGGTCGAGAATGGAAAGGCCTCCCTCTCTCTTAGGTTGTGTAACTACCTCCCACGCCACCTTGGGGAGGTAGGATGCTTTAAACATCTATTCTTTCCACACGTAATGGGCCTTTCTGGGCCTTTCGGTTGAGATCCAAGTTGTATCTGTTCGGATCATTTGACGCTCATTACATATAGACAGTTGCAGTTTTTATAGTAACAAGTGGACCAGCCGCAGCCATGCTGCGGCAGAGGAGAGGGACGAACAGGTGGGCGGGGCTGTTGTTGATACACAGGCCGGG